CCCAGCTCGGTGGCGTTTTACCGCAACCTCCAGTGACCCCAAGCTCATGGCCCTTTTACACTAGCATTTCCCTATGCTCTATTTCTTCTGAGCTTGCCCTGTTGCATCTCTTTGCTTGTGTCCTCAGCTGGGGTTTCACATCCCAGCATCAACTAGAGCCCGAAGACACTGCTGAGCAGATGGTGGAGCTGCTTCTTGCGCAGCCCTGCTGCTGTCCTGTGGCATTTTGCTTCTGTACAAGGCAGTGGCTTCCAGCGTATCAGCTGTGGATGTGAAGACCAGACCTAGGGTAAAGTAAACCATGTTTGTTGGTTAACTTTCTGGGGAAAAAAAATCCTCCCCTTGTGTTCAAGTACATGGTAAAATTAATGTAGATACAGGCTGAGAGAGGAATAAGGACAAGGTGGGGATGGCAGGAAATTGCAGTGTGTTCATTAGCATATGAAGAGGGCTATATTTATACCAAGTACAAGGAAGGCAGCACGATCAGGTGGGCATTTAGGAAGGTATTCAAATTATCAGTAAACTATGGCTAGAACTGCACGTGCCTCTGATGTTCCTTTTGAAGAAACTGATATTCTTTTCTTACCACAGATGAACTCAAACATGCTTGAGAAAAGTCCAAGTCTGAGAATTCAAGAGACTTGGATCAAGCTGCTGACTTACTACCAGCTGTGTGTGCAAAACAAATCACTTTGCTTTCATATGTTCTGAGACAAGGACTACAGTGAAATGAAGATGTTGCCTTGCAGCTTCCTTAAGACATAGGTCGCTTTTATCGGAGATTCCTGGATGATTAGTAAAGTGCCCCTACTGATGCTACCAAAACAAAGTAATCCTCAGTTGGGAAATACCATGATTACACCGCAAAGTAAAAAACCGGTGTCCTTACAGGCATCATGAGCCTGGCAATTGATGGTGATGATGTGTCCTGTTTTGAGTACAGGTCAGCCTATTGTGGATCTTGAAAGCTTAGAACTAAGAATATTGATTTATAGAGTTTCTGAATTGTCACTGAAATTTTAGGAGTGTCTTTAAAAAAAGAAAAAGCTTCTACTGAACAATATCTGTCTCCTTAAGTGGTATTTCCTGTGGAGTGAGATACTCTCCAGTATTGACTCTGGTCAATATTTTTGTACAAAATATATGTAGAGGTCTCTTCTGCCAAATCTTACATCATCTTCACTTGAAAGGTTGAATATTATAACCTGTATTTCAAGCAGGATGAAATGGAAGCAAAGAAAAAGCTGCCAGTAGTTTTTACTAGAGTTGCAGTGGAACTGGTCTTTCATTTGCACGTCTAGGCATGCTATGGATTCAATCTGACTTAAGGGAGCAGTTTCCAGAGGACTCACAATTTTGTATGCCAGCCACACAGATCTACAAAGCCTCAGACTTGGTAGGCATGTGCTTCTCTTGCATATATGCACCAAAGATAGCACATTACTGAGTCAAAATAAGACAGTATAGGTATATTTGAAATTCACTTTAATTAACCAAGATTTTCAGTCCTTATTTATAGGCATGAAAAAAGAACCAGATCCAAAAAAACTGTGTTTAAAAGGTTGGAGTCAGAAGTAATTAATGTTTAAAGTGACTGTATAACCATATACAGCCAACCTACATAAATGCAGATCCTCAAGAGGTTTGTGATTAGTAGTTAGCCTTACTTCTGCCTAATGTATTGGTACCTTGAGATGTAATAAACACTATCTACTGCTAAGAATCATCCACAGTGAGAAGACTTCATTACAGTAACTGATTCTTCTAGTCAAAGTTTTAGCATAAAATAGCATGTTTCCACTTCTAGAGGAAGTTGTCCCTCTGTCAGGCTAAATACTGATAACCCCCCACCTCTGTTTCCTACTGCTCCTTCCACACATAACACTGTCACAGCAAGCCCCTGCTGAAAAGGGCAGCATGTGACATTGCAGGTCGTAGCAACTCCTTGGTCTGCAAGGGGAATTATTACTGTGTTACGTGAGATGAATTGCATCTTTCTGGCTGGATTCTCAGTGAAGGAATGTCACATTAAGGGATGTATTAGTTTGCTGCACTCTTGCTTGTGCTGCCCTGGCTCAGTGAATTTTATGGCTGAAGAAAGCATGGGTCACCAGTGGATCAATTTTTCAGGCTCCTGCATTTGCCTCTCTCTGAATGGGCCTGGCCACCCAGTCCTTGGGGATGTCTCAGATGCATCCCCATTCTCCAGGGTTGGAGAATGTGCAAAGTGCCCAAAGACTTCCAGAGATGCCTTCTTAATATATTTGGCTCTGTGGCCTCCCAAGGGCAGTCAGCAGCATCTGAAAAGTGTGATTCTATGTACCTATTCTTCATATTTAAAAGACTTTCTTCTCTTGAACTTTGTGCATTGTGGAATGCAAACCTATATTTCTCTAACCCTGAGGTTTTTCAACCTGACTGCATTGTTCTGTGGTTATCCACCTTGCTCCTCTTCTCCTATTTCTGTAACAAGGCTTTGGTTTGTTTCCTTTTTGCTCATTCCAGACCCCCTTCTCCTCCCTCTTTCACACGAACCTTCTACTCTCAGTGCACCCCAGCTCCACAACTGATGTGGGCTCACCCTCTAGTCCTTGGGCAAACACCATCCCAGGTGATATGGGATGGCATATCTTCAGCTGTTAGCAAAAATAGAGCGGGGAAAGAGTTGGGCACAGGAGATAGGACAGAACAAACTCAAGTATTATGTAGGAATGTCTTTTTCAATGATGTTACCCTGGTTTCTACATGTAGCAAAAAAAAAAAAACAAAACCAAACAACCAAACTTCTTTCCTCCCAGCCTGCCATTTTTCTCTTTTTTCTTTCTTTCTTTTCCAAGCTTTAGATTATCTCTCTTCATGACCTATGGTTAAAACACAGGATAGTTTGTTTTTACCTGGGTGCCAGACTTGGATAAATTTAGAAAAAAATCTAATTCTCTCATGGCTGTAAGTTCACCAGCTATTTAAAATAATGACTCCAGATAGTTTCCTTAAACTGCTGAGGATTCTTTTAGTTTGCATCCAAGAGAATGACTGTAGACAGGGAGCCTGGAAAAGTTTGGGATGGAGCAGTGCAGCTTCTGCCCTGGGTCCTGCCAGATCTCTCCCAGCCCAACTCTCTGTTCTACCCAGGAGCACAGAGAACCCTTGCACTGGCTTTGCATCTGCTTGGGTGATGGGGACAAACATCTGTCAGAATTAACTTCTGCACATAAAAACTGTTAACAGAAAATGTCTTTAACAAACTCCTGAGAGAGCCTGATCTTTCTCTTTTTGGAGTTACAAGCTAAGCTCCTATTTCCTTCAGTGGGGCAGTATGGGCTTTTCCATCTATGTAGTACTCAGGGAGTACTGAGGTAAGGACTGCTGTGTGGCTGACAGCTGCAAAATTACAGTGCTAGGAAAATGGAATTTTATGGATATTTATTCTCGTCAAAGCAAATTCTTTCTTTTTCTTTCAACACATTCCACTTGTTCTCCTGGGCTGTGCAGCCCATTATTGCAAATGTAGCAAGAGCCTGTCTATTAAAAGCAGAGGTCAAAGTATGCTCAGGAAAGTATTACAAGTACTGTATTGCATTTGTGTATACCTGCTTATCAAGCAAACATGTAAATATATATTTGTTTGCATCTTCTAAGAGAGTTATTCATGACATGAGTGTGCATATATCATAGGTGGTCTTGTTTGGAGTTTTTACTAAACACAGGTCCATGCACTGAGGCACTTTCTCAGGCATTACTCAGGAAAAACTCACAGCTTTAACATTGTAGTGCTTATATACATGCAAATTCATAATACGTTGCACGGTGTTTTTCTTTCAGTACTTTCATTGTCATGAGACACTACAAAATATGTTCAACTGAAGTGCTTTAAAATATATATTCCATTATAAATTCTCAGACGTCTTCAAGTCCACTGTAAGAGATTTAACCTCCTTTTACTCAAAAGAAAGACAGGATTCTGTTTCTAGCCCAGAATTCATGGAACACTTGATCAAATTTCTGTCCTTTTACATTTGTCACTTCTTCCCCAAGTATTTCTAGAATTCTAGAACTTTTCTACATTTCTAATAGCTCAGGATAGCCATTCCAAACTGAAGGAAACTAAAAAGTTGTTCTTGGACAACAGTTGACACTAACCAGAGTTACCAGGTTCAGAGAAGGAATTAGGGCTTGCTCAATAAAAACAAATAAGATCATAGCCAGTGGTTTTGGTTAAGAAAATAAGTTCCATAAAGTATTGAAAGGGTAGTAGAAAGTTCAGCTCTTACCTATCACTTTGAAAATGTGTTAATAGACAAGATTTTAGTAATTTTGAATTTATTTATTAAAAAGGGGCTAGAATGCTTTCTTCTTTCTTTTTCTTTCTCAACAACATACACAAAAGCAATATCCCCCAAAGCAGACTTACACTAGGACATGAGATGGAAAACTTATGTTATAAAACCCATCTCCTTTTGCTTAAAGCAGGGAGATGTGCTGAGAAACTGGTACAGTATGACAACATTTTAAACACAGAGGAGACAAGATTTATCTGGCTGGTATACAATATAAAACAAAAATCGAACACCAGTGTTACAGTGCTATATTGAAACAAACCACAGTAATTAGATGCTTTGAAGTCAAGCCTATATTTTCTTCAGCTTTTTCATGAATTATTGATCCACTTTCCTCATTAAATAGAATGGCAAGCTCTTGCAGTAAATGGACAAGTGGCTACAACATTTATATAATCAAATATGCTCTGCATCTGGCAATAAAACATGTTTGTGAGTAAAACATCCTTTCTGAATTGACATCCCTGCGAAACAGATTTACTAGAACAATCACATTCCTTTTCTTTTGTCTCTATAGCACAGCTTGCCTTGCATCATCATGCGATCCAGTATTTTACTCTGATCATATTAAGCAAAATATTTTCCAAGAGCCTGTTTCGTGCATTGTGCAACAGAACATTTCTTCTCTATAATGAGATGTAAATAAACTGTCTCACTTACCTTATTTTCTCCATTTCTGCTGCAGAGGCCTACAAGAAATCAAATAATAGGAGCAAGTGAATGAAAGAAAACATTCACTCTGCAGATTTATGCATAGTTAAGGCTTTCCGAATGGTTCTCGACAAGTGGCTACAAAGCGCCGGCAAGCGAACCCCACATCTGCATTAGCCGAAAATAACACTGACAGCTGAAGTGGGGAATAGAGCCGCGCGCGGTGGGAGCCCTGTATACCCACGAGCCATGGGCACCAGAATGACTCAGTTGTAGCGCTGAGGCAGAAAACGGGGAGGGAAAAAAAAAAAAAAAAAAAAAAAAAAAGCAAGCAGCAGCAAGTAACAGGTTACTGTGCCTCCTGGGTTTCCGAGGGAAAGTTGAAATGCGGTGCTACCCTCTGCGCGGTGGGCATGGCAGCGGGCTGGGCTGGCGGGGAACGACAGTGACTTCATCACACGTGAATTTGGAGCTCAATTCATCATCTTTCACAGAGCCCGACAGATGGAAGGACCCAAGCTTGCCTCCTTAGTGGGAGTTTCGAGTAATCAAATTACTTTCCCCAAGTAATACACTATCTGGAAAATTAACATCTCAATGCATGGAAGCGTTTCGTTAACCCTTTCGCTGCTGCTGACCCGCGCTGGAGATCCCAGCCCCGGTACCTCCTCCGGTCCCTGCCCCGCCGCGCCAGGCTCCCGTTAACCCTTTGCCCGCGGCTCGGCTCTCAGAGAGAGAGGCTCTCCTTGCACCTCCACAGACCCGGCACAGCCGTGGGTGGTCATTGCATTAATCTGCCTGGTTTCTTTTTGCCGTATAGATCCTGTAAATCCCTACTTATCTATAGCACGGAGACTCATTAATCTCTCTGACATTACTTATATCAAAAGCATAGTCTTGTTAACCCTTTGGCTTCTTTTTCATCATTATCTTGCACAGATCCTTAATAGCTGCTCCCATTTCATTTTAGCACAGCACTGGCACAAAATCTCATCAATCCTCCAAGTCCCGCTTCATTGTAACTAAGGAATGAGCACTCGAGCAATCCTGCAATCTCCAGAGCCAGATAAATCCCAGCATCACAGAATCTCTTATTTATACTGAGAGCATTGGCCATTAATCATGAACACTTTAAACCTTATTGATTAATGGCTAACAATCATATCTGAGTATGAAATAAATTAAAGATTAAAAATAGAGAAATGTAAATTTAATCAGTTAACCAGCAGGAAATTTGTCAAACTGCCTACTAAAACATCCCAAGTGACAAATTGTTGGTACTTCATTGGGTCACAGGTCTTCCCTCTTTCTCATTTACTTTTGATTTGCTCACTAGATAAGCTATCAGTCAGGCTGGTGTTTGCATGGTAATTTCTGATGACAAACATTAAAGATTTTAGGCATTCACCATAACTCGATATGTAGGAAACCAGCTGCAGGAAAACCCCTCCTCAGTTTCTAGTAACATATGTAATACATGTTTACATGGTCCTTGTATGGTCTGTTGGAATCACAAGGTTGCCTGTGATAAATCTCAGATTTTGAGATTAAAAATCTAACCTAGGCACCCATAACTTCTTTCTCTTATTTATATCTATCCATTGAATCCGTGCATATTCAGTGGTATGCAGGAAATAGTTTCAACATTACTGATCAGAAAATGAACCACTCAGGCTTTCTCCCCAGGCGTGAAAAGCTACTGGCAGACCCCATGAACTTGCCAGTTTGGCTCTCCAGAGATGGACTTTCATAAACTGTCCTAATCATCATGTTGCTGTCATTTTGGGGAGATTGGACATAGTTTTCTTCAGGGCTACTTACTATTGCTTTGCCTTGAACTCTGGGAGTCGCCCAAGAAGGCAGGGTACTTAGAGTATCTGATTTCAGAACTTCTATTGTGGCAATATCTGCAGACATAAGGGGAAGCTACCTGGCCTTGCTTTTATCTAGTGCTTTGAATATTGCTGCACTCATGGGGTCAGTGTGGGGGTTGCTTTCTCTGATTAAAGCAAAAGATGGAGAAGAGAAGCTGTAGATTGATGTTCTGGTGATACTCATCTGTGAATGCAGGTGAGTCATTGGCTGCCAATCCTGACAGGAAATTAGTGGGGGAAAAAAACCACAGCAAATGTCTAACACTAAAACAAACAAGAAACCTAAACCAAGCTCAATTAATTTTTTTTTTCCTGTCAGGGCTGTTTTTTTACCTCCTCACAGTAAAAGCTGCTTGTTTCATGTAACAGGGTAAATTTTCTTTTGGACCAGCAAGGATGTTCTCCTCAGCCTTTCCTTGACAGTCTGTGAAGTAAAGAGATGGCTTCTCTCTGATGTGGGAGCAATGGATTCATATCAATTCTCCTCAAGAAGAATACTCTGACTCAGGTCAGAGGCCTTTCTGGGCTGCAGCACTGCAATGTAACTGCTCTGTTACATCTTTTGATGGGGAGTCGCTTCTAGTAAATAAATAGGAGCACGATAGGACTAGAGTTTGTGTGTTCTTCAGGGGAATGCCCTAGCTCTCAGGCTAGAGTCAAATGAGCATAAGAAACTAGAAACAGTGAAAGAAAAGATAGGAGCATCTGTAGAAATATAGCTATAATTCCAAGCAGTTTATTTTCTCAGAGAGTTGTGTTCCTTAGGAGGGTCCTTTTTTTATCCCTTTTGTTTGTCTTTTCTTTTTCTTCTTTTTCTTCCTTTCCTTCCTCTTCTCCCTTTCTTATTTTTATTTTGTTTCTTTTCTCCCCAAAAAAGCCTTAGCAACTCACAACTATTTTAAAAGCCTGTGGTTTTCTAAAACAGCTCTGTTGCCACAAGGTGACATTTTTACTAAGGCAAAATTGCTTTTCCTAGCCAGATCCCTGCCATTGATTTAGCCTGTGGAAGTTTAGAGGTTACGTCATCCTCCCACTGCTCTCTATGAAGTCTGAAATATGCTACTAAATTGATCTTAAACTATATTCTAAACAGCTCTGAAATGGCCACTTTTAGGACCAATCTTTTCCTGAAAGTCTTGTGGGACATATTTCAAGCAAAAAGAGTGAAGTAAAGGTTGGTGTAAGAATGTCCTTAATGTTATGTCATTCATAAATTGCTGCTTGATAGTGTGTTGATTCATTTCAAGTAACTCCTGGTGCCTAAACTGAGCAGTGATTGAAGCTGTGTGATTTTTTTAATGAAATATTTAAAATTAAAGCAGTAATTACCTTTAATTACAAAAATATCAGATGTGACTTATTTACCTGTTGGTTTTTTTATTTTTTAAATGATATCAATGCAGTGTGACTAAAGAATTTATTTAATCAGCCTAAAAATAACAATTTTTGCTTTCAACAAAAAGCTTGGCCTACATTTTCATATACAGTCTCTTACTTAAAATACTGAGACTGGTTTGAAGATTTTACTTTTTACAGAAATACTTGGTGTGGCAACTTTGCCTGGAAGGATTTTCGGGCAATACTTAAAATTACTGGTAGAGACCTGATTTTTTTTCAAGTTTTTGAAGGAAGCAAGTGTAAAACAACTGAACTGCCAAGACTCTCCTTTTCTGGAAGTGCTGAACATTTAAAAGTCCATTTTGGAGCAGATATTAAAAAAAAAATTAACTATTTTTTTTTTTAATATAATCTCCCCCCCACACACACTTATTCTAGATTTCAAGTTGATATTTCTTGATATTCTTTGAGAACAAAGTCATTTACTGGCTTGGATGAAAGCATGGATGCTGTTAATGGAAACCCTAGGAAATCTAACTGTGGCTTTTTTCCCCTTTAGGATATAGTTATTGTTTTTCAGACAGCATGACAACCTCAGTTGCTTTCAAGTCAACAGCGTGAATGAAGAATACTGTGATCCCCTAATTTTTTCTTTCCATGTTTCATTAATGAGTCAAGCAACTTCCAGACGACGGCAGAATGTTCTTAGTCACTGACATACATAAAATTTTATATAGCATTATATATATTCTTTGATATTTTTGTTATATGATCAATGTCTATAGTATTGATTATTGAACAAAAACCTTTTAAACAAAATAAAAAGTCGTGCTGATGGTCTATCTATCATTCTATTCAGTTTAAATTGTGTTTATGTTTTATTTCCTCTCCTGTATGACCACTTTCTGAGGGACAAGCAATCATGAGATTTCAGATCTTCCAGATGTCTAATGAAATTTCCTTCACCTAAGATCTTGATGTTAATAATTTTCATCCTTTTGCATCTTCCTAATGTATGTGTGAAAAAAGAGGGGTACCCTGGAGGTGAATTTTTAATTTTAATTATTACTTTTTGGAAAGAGCTATTTAGTTTCAGAGGGAGGGAAAGATCCAGAGCCTGACTCAGTGCTCACCAATTCTTCCCATTGTGTTCAGTGGACTTTGGATTGGGATGTTGTCTTGTTGCTACCAAATGAACAAGAAAAGAAAGAGTAGCAGGAAGTTACTCATTCAGTCTGTTTTTACTCAGAGTTATTTATTATTGTGGAAGTTACTTTTATTTCTGTGGTGGAGAAAGCTGTAAATTAGAGTTCACTCACAACTAAAGTCATCTGGACTTCTGGCATATTTATAAACTGCCACATGTTTTCAATCCAACTGTATTACTTCAACATTTCTTTTGTACTTGCAGTTGTACTAAAGTTTTATTGATAGGAACTGCTGTGGTCCTTTTCCTTTCTTTTCCTATACAGTACAAGAGTTAAAGATTTAATTTAATAAAAATTACAGACTATATAATTTGATAGGATCAATCTTTAATTAGACTCTCAATAATTTTCAGAGATTTCTTTTGTAGGTTTTAAGGTATCACAAGCACTGACAGAAGAAAGACTAAAATTTAATCTGTAGAAACTTTAATAAAACTGGAGGAAATGTCCTCCTGCATTTGTTTTGGCTTTATGTATTGAGGGTATCTGATAGATGTTTACAAAAAAAGAAGAGTCTCTCTCTAAAACTCTTGCCTGAAATTGTCATGGAGATACATAGAAAATTGAGTCCAAGTCTCCACAGTTGCCACTCGAATAGATATATACTGTATTAGATAT